TTTAAACGCTTTTAAGATAAGATATTGATTATTTTTAAAAGGTATATATTAATACAACTATTTTCCTTATAATTCCAAATTTAGGATATAAAATCTCCCACACCAAAAAACTTACAATTGGGTAACGCCGCTTCCAATTTTTCACAATTGAGCAATTGTCAAAAATCTGCTTTTTAATCAAAAAGTTTTTTATTGAAACTACCTTCTTTTTTGTATCATGGGTGTATGTATTTTCAAAACAATTATGCTTTTTTAAATATCGCATGCTGCAATCATTTCGAAAACGTAAAGTAAAAATATTTGTAACGTAACTTATGGTAGTACTGTGCTTGAGCTTAATTTTTATAGGTAAAAACTTACAAAAATTGCCAACGACAACTTAATGTCATTTTCTCTGTCTATTTTTTTTTTAGTTTAAAATAGTACATTTCATTTTTAAATTGCCCACTTATTCAATTCAGTTTCCTTTTGAATATTCATTTCCTAAAAAATTAAATACATAAAGCCCATGAAATAAAGGAAAACAATGGTATCATATATTTGCCGGTGGGCCTTATTTCATTTTTTAGGAAATGAAGCCCGCGGGCGGTATTGCCATATCGAAGGGAAATAATGCCCACCGGCAAAAGACAATAAAGCCCGCGGGTTAAATTTCTTTTTAGAAACGGCAATAACGCCCGCGGGCTTTATTTCCTTTTTTTAGGAAATAAAGCCCATTTGCCTTATTCCTACTAAAATTCAGTACACAGTGAGCATGTCCAATTTCCTGCTTATCGCTTGGTGGTCAGAGTAGATAGATATTTATTGCTTTCTCTGCTCGGAAAACAACAAACAGTGGAATGCACAATATTAAGCATTACATTAAGCGGCAATCTTCTCCAGCGCATTCCTCCATAGGACTCCACGAAATAACATTAGGAGAAAAACCCGATCACTCACTTACTAATTACACCCCAACCTGCCTCCTGCATCAGTGGAGTCGCTTGCGATATCTTACCTTATAGTGAACACAACAAAGCTTTATTCACCAAGGCGGCCCCTCTTTCGAGTTCACGATCGTGTGCACGGATTAGGTTTAACTATATATTACTTAAAAATTTTACTTGTGCGTTAAAATGGTAATTTAAACTGCCAAAGAAATGAACATAGTAGTAGTCGTATGTATGTATGTATGTATGTATATGTTTACATGTTTTCGCTGGCACTATGCATTTTCAAACTTTTCTGCTAACTACATCTCTTGATGAATTATATGTACTTTTTATGCAGTACCTACTTACACTTTCTTGGCAATGTAATGCGAGTAATGCGATGCTTGGAAATAAAGTTTTTTTAAATACGCGTATACATACTTTCACTCTATAAACATAAACAATTGCAACAAAGATTTTATGATGTGCAAAAAAGGTGATTGGCATAGTGTGTGTGCGTTGTGCCCTGTGGAGGGAATGGGGTAGGGTGGCATGTAAAATTTGACGTTAATTGAAATTTTGGTGTTGTTAGCAGCATGGCCGCTGTTGCCGCCACCACCTTCTAACAGTTTGCGCAACCTATCGCAAGCAGAAATAACAACAGCCCTGCAATAACAATGGCAACAATGCAACGGCCTCGCAGCCAACGCCAGCGACATAACCTACTTTGGTGTGAAGAGCGCTTGTAAAAGACAAGCATGCTTTTTGGCGCACTAAGGCCCAAACCCTGAAACAAACGCACAGTTGGTTGCGCGTAGGAGTGTGTGTGTGTGTAAGTGTGGGAGCGAAATGGTAGATTCGCCTTAGGTTAGCCAAAACTAAATGCGTGCAAATGAAAATGTGTATTTATGTACAGACATATGTATGTATGTATGTATTTGTGCAACATCAACGGCTCTAATAATAAAACAGCGCATGTTGCTGACACTTAGCTGGTAGAATCAGCACGCCGCACAAAAGATGCCGCTAGATGAGATGAGAACAGGCCTTCCGAAAATCTTTAGCAGAGTAACCCCGCTACGTAGGAGCCTTATTACCCAGCTTATTTTAAATTGTGAATTGTGATTGTTTATTTGAGAGATTCGTGCTCAGCAATGGTGGGAACCACAAATTGGGATGCTGCTCTTCCGTTGGTCGCAAAAAGTTGTCAGTCATTATTCTGTAAGAAGCCCCGGAAATCGTTTCTGGCGTTTCATCCTCATTCACGTAGAAATATGGGCCGATAACTTTTTCGGCCATAACACCGCACCAAACAGTGCATCTGGAGTTTTGCTTGGAAATGCGTTTCATCCGACATCAAAACATTACCTAAAAAATCAATTTGTGTGGCTAATCGTGTAAAACGAATAGTGTTTTGTAGTCGTTGTTGGTGGTCTTGCTGTAAATATCCATAATGATTTTCCGAAAGATTAACTATAACAGGCAAAAGGAAAAAACAATAATATAAAAAAATAATATAAATAAATATCGTGTTGTGGTAAGCAGTGCGCGCTTTCACTCCGCAGCACCAGGGTTCAAACCCTGGTCAAAGCAACATCGCAAAAATATAGAAAAAAAGGTTTTTCCTTAACAGCGGTCATCCCTCGGCAGGCAATGGCAAGCCTTCGAGTGTATTTCTTCCATTAAGAAGCGTCGCATACAACTCATTTGCCGTTCGGAGGCGGGTCCTTCGGGTTATGTACGTTTTAATGGAGAGGTTTTCGAATTAGATGTACTATGCATTTTCACTCGTATCTTATGTAGTCACGGTAGTGTAGCAACATTTTTAATCCCACATGAAAACCACTCCCGATATTGTTGCATAATATTTAAAGTCAATATTTCAGTAATCGTATCCGATCAAAATTACAATCGCATCTTGGTAACTTTACGAGAAAACTGTGATTTTAATAATAATAATAATAATATATATGTATATTAGACTGACCAGAAACAAGTGAAAGTGCTTCTTTTTTGATGCTCTTGCCATTTTAGCTTCCATTAGGCCTAAAAACTATTCCCTGAAAATTTGGTCCAAAAATATTAACATTTAGAAGTCTCGCGTGAACGTTTTGTGCCTCTGCCTCAAGTGGTTAAAATTACTCTTCCTACAATTCATGCGCTCATGAAATTGAAGTTTTTTAAGGTCTTGCAGTATGTTTTCAAGATCGCTAAACCCGCTGGGAAAATTTGCAAAGTTTTTCTAAGAAATAATCAAGTGCAATTTTTATTTTCTCTTCTTTAAAGATTTTTTCGTAATATCTCCGACTTTTGATATGTATGTACATTAGAGTGGTCCAAAAAAAAAAAATGGCTTGGGCACCTTCCAAAATTTTTCGCCTTGCCGAAAGAGGTGCTGGTATCAAAGTTTACGTTTCTAAGTATAGGAAGTATTTTGTACATATATTATTAAAACAATTGGTTAAGCAACTTAAGAAAATTTTAAATTAAAGTTATCTAAAAAAATATCAAAAGGAAAAAGACTAAGGGGGTGCCCCGTGTTCCAGGATGATAATTTTTTTCTCCTATCGTTCTAACGTACATACATATGAGCTGTTTGTTTTGAAAGTGACATAAGATATTTCCACTCTGTTCCATTGTGAAGTTGAACGAACAACAGACGCGTTCAGGTACAGCTGACTAAAAATGGTTAAGTCTATTACGGTTGTAGTGAATGACTATTTTAATGATGAATGAATAATTTACACCATGCCTAACCAAATTGCCTTATCAAACTTGGATGCTAATTTATTTAAGCAGCATTTTTGGATGGTGAAGTAAGCCATCCGAATGTATGTATGTATGTAAATAGCGAATCAGAAAAGAATTGTCGCTTCAAATGTTTTCTTAGTAGAACCATCTCACAACTTTCTGGTTATGTGGTTATATTTTTTATTCAGCTAACAACAATAAAATATTTACACTATAGAATAATCACCTGATAACCAGGCAAGTGCTAACACCCACAATCTATATATGTACATATTTCCATTTGTTATTTCCTGTGCATTTTTTTATGCGGACACCATTGCCGTCTCAGTAGATAAATACATTTGTACTTAGTTGGGTTTCAAGAGTTGTTGAATTTGTTCAAATTCAGTTTAAATTATGGCGATGCTTCTCTCGGCCGCCGATTTTCAAATGAAATCATTGAACTATTTTGCTTTGCATGTTGCTGCCGCTACATATTTGGGCAGCCACCAAATGGAGTGTAGTAGAATTTCATATCCTAACCATAGAGACACGTGGTGGAAGGTGGTGCATGTACATACATACATATGTAATTTATTATTAATAATGCGGTACTTTTTGGCTCTTGCTTTGTCCAACATTTCTGCTAAATTATGTACATATGTATGTACATACGTAGCTTCCATGTACGCCTGCCTGTATCCAATACGGATGCGTTTACATATATATATACATACATATGCAAACTGCGTGTTTATGTAAATATGTATATGTATATGTATATGTATTAGCTGTGGTATAATAATATTTGAACGTTTTTCAATTTCCTTCTTATAAATAATTGCTCTGCAAGTTGCAATAGTATCTGCTGCAGTTTTTCACTGAATAGTTGAAATTTTCGCCTACAAAGGCGCCCCACTTTTCCGCTACCACAGTTAACGCAACAAACACAATATTTTGAAAATGAATACAAACTTTCAGCTATGACCGGGAAAATAACTAAAGAGTACTCTAGCTATGGAAAACTGGACGTCATCGACTGGGCGATATACATACATACATTTTGTTGTTGCACAATAAAAGCCTTCCTCAGAGTAAGCAAATTTCAATTTAAATTACCGCATCAATAGTTATTGAAAATTACGTATGTACATATGTATAGCATTAAGGTACTCATAATGTATGTATGTATTATTATTAAAAGAATCCACTTTAGTTTTTAAATGCATGCAATCGCTGTACTCACGTCTATAAGCATAATACCTGTGTATGTACACATACTAACATGTTTGTATCATTTTTAACTCTTCCACCGCGGGAACATTTGGACAATAAATTGAAATTCATTAAAAAAAAAAGGTGAACAACGCCACGGCTCGTGTGCAGACCAAAAAAGTTACAGCTCTTCCAAATGGTAAGTTGATAATAAAAATATAAAAATATGACCTTTCATTTTAGAAAGCATTTTAAATTATTAAAAATAGGCCACGCATTAATTGAAGTCAGTATTCTAGGTTTATGTTTATTACTCGAAGATCAAGGGCATTAACAGGAAAAACATTTGAGAGGCGTCAGCATAGTTGTTGCCTTCGAACTTTAACAAAGATCTCATTAAGCACAGGCTTTCGAGTCTTTTTTCTACTGAGCTGATGTACGCCATGAAACTGAGAAGTGGCATCCATTTTTTAACATTCCCTTCGATATATCTTTTCGTTAATAAATTGCCATAGGCCCAGGTCGCGTCAATTCAGAAGGCCATCGTGAAATCAATAAAAAACGTTATGAATGAAATTATTGTTAGTCCAGCTGAAAATCGTAGAACTTTTGTTTGATGTGCTTGAGGAGATAATTCTGTGGTTAGAAACAATAGTCGCTCAAGTCGACCTAAGCCAGAGATCAGTTGCATATAAAAAGTTGTTCTCTTAATAAGACAAGACTTCATATTTCCAGCAAATTTCTAAAGCATTTTTGCGAAAATTGTTTAGTTAAAAAAAAAACCTGTATAAGAAGAAACATGAAAATCGCGCTGTTTAGATATTTGGAAATACATATTAAACAATCCGCTTACTGGCGATGTGCGACTTTTAGAGAGAAAATGTTGCAATTTATGTGTAGAACTGGACGTTTCATTGAATGCCAACAACACATCAAAATTTATATGCGAAAAAGACTCGTAAATAGTTTGACAGTGAAGCGAACATGATTTGCATAATTTATTGGTTTATACGTTATCAATTTGTTAGCCAAAACATGCCAAATTTGCAAGATTTTCATATTCGATGCTTGTGTTTACTAACTTACTTATTTAATAGTTAACGAAATTTTTGTGCTGAACTGAATTTTATATTGAATATATTTTTGTTTCTGAATCATACACAGTTGTACTGACAAAAGACGGTGCCATACCGGCTCAAGCTCTAGGTGAGCAGATTTTTTACCTTAGATAACTAATATGCAAAATATTTCATTGTTGGTTGCTGAAATTTGAAAATTTGTGAAAACATTATGTAAATATAAATAGTTTGAAGCACCTTAAAAGCTCTACAAAACAAGTAAACTATTTCCTCAATATATATGTAAATACATACATAATTTATAAGCTTGTTGACAGTTTTTTGCATCTGGCATGACATGTTGCATGTTACATATTGCGTGTTGCATGTAAACGTTTTTATTCGAAAACCCAAGAATGGCCATTTCAATATGCAAAAAGGTGGTGGAAGACCAACACAAAACGCAGTTATGTAAATCTTTTTCCTTTTTGTATTTTAACAGTTGTCAAATCAAATGCAATCCGGTCTCTTAAAGAGAACCTAAATGAATCAAGTGAACAATTCGTCGACTCCAATGGCTTTTGGGATAGCGACACAAGTAGCTTGAGGGTGGTGAAAATTAATGCGGCCAGCCACGACTACGATGTATCTGCTCTGCATTTATTATGTATATTAAACGCCTACTTCCTTCAAAGCAACATTTGGATCGTGCTCAGTACATATTTAAAATGTGCATTAATTCACCAAAATCTCTGAGTTCTTTGACACCAAACAATTTTGTTCCAATTAATCGAAAATCTGGCAGATTTGAAACAAATTAAAAGAACTCCAAAACAGTACATGGACGGTGTTTAGGCTAGTTCGAACTGCTAGCGCCTAAATACATACTACGAAATTTCCGCATATGCACTTCTCAGGTTAAAAATCAATGAAAATAGTAGCGATATCGATAGTTACAGCTCTATTTCAATTGAAATTAACTTTTCTTTAATGTTGGTGCACACTTTCCACTTGTATACAGGTGACTATCTGACTGACGAAAACAAACATGCATGAATTCAGCATGACGTACCAGTAGGCTTGTTAGTTAGGGGAGTAGCAAGCTGAGAGTAATATACGCTCCGGTATATTCGCATGAGTTTGTTTCGTCAGTCAGCTTGTCATCATCTAAACCACGACCACGACCTGGTCATAGTGTTTTTATCCTTTCAATTATGGTGAGGTGGTAACTGTTGCTTACCCTTAGCCGCAACGCCTACGCAAATATTTTTAATTGAATAAATAATTGTTTTCGTGTAAATACATTGCATATGTGCCTCCACTCTCAATGCAGACAGTATTTAGTTTGAGATTTGTCTTCGGCACGCACTGATTTTGTTACACTGAGGGAAAAAAATATTAAAATCAAATAGAAACGTAATTGATCTTACTATAAACGTCAACGAAAGTACTGTATATTTTGGTAAATATTCAATATTCAAATATTCTTAAAAATCATCCGTGAAGTGGATAATCAAGACAAAAACTAAAAAAAAAATATTTAACTTGTATGTTGCCTGCAGTGGAATTCGAACCCTTACCATCTCTGGTTATCAACAAATTGTGGCATGCATCTTTGCGCACTCAGCTACGCCCAGGCATATACATAAATTTGCTTTCAAATGTTGAATATCCATCAACACCACAGCATGCGATTTGTACGGATAAACATGTACTATGTATGAATATGTGTATTGCCACCGCTCTCAGAGAGGCGCAGAGGCACGCTTGGGGTGCGTATGTACACTCATATATATACTCAGATGTGAACAGTCAAATACGTGCATAATAAATTATGAAAATATTATTTCTAAATTTGAACATTTTTAAACGATAATCAAATATAAAGTATTCATTTTTACTATGCATTATTTCCCTCAGTGTAGCTCTAGCAAAATATGACTTATTCCTTGGAATCACCAGAATGTCATGAGCATGTATTTCGCAGTTTGCTTGCTGAAGAAACTTTTGCATGTAGATAATCTATTGGAATTTGAGACGATCAAATTTCGCAAAGAGACGATAGCGTGAAGTGACCGACAGCCGGTCGCACCGAAATGGCTCGGGTTTTTTTTCTCGACCGAGGATTGTTTTTTCGGCGACCTAAGCTCGTTTAGATCGGCGAGCTCCATCAATCGTTTTACGTCCGTGGAGCAACGGCGCATCATTCCAGGGGCGGGCATTGAGCCCAACCCCGGACCAGAAACCTGATTATACTGTTCATGCCAGAGACGCCCCCATCTGAACTCGACTTCGGTTAGGTGCAATACCTGCGGATGGAGCTACCTAAGAGCATGTTCGGGCCTTACGTCACATAGGGAGTGGACTAAGGGGTATGGGGCCCCATGTTTTTCAAGCATTATGACACCATCCGCCTATACAACCCCTTAACTCGCGTATAGGCACCCAAAGAGCACCTTCGGCTTCACGGAGCTCACATGAGGATCAACCCAATCCTCCACGCCTGCTACCAGGTATCAACATCCATAGAGACAAGCGCAACTGGACCAAGGTAAATCACTCTCTTATACCTCTGAAACTGAACTGCAACGGTCTCGAAGATCGAAGAGGTAACCGTATTTATTGGCCGGCGTGGTCGAGCGGTTAGAGGTGCACAATACCAATCGGTGGGTCGAAGGTTCGATTGCAGTTTCGGGCAACATTCAAACAAAAAAGGATCAGTCCCGCGCCTTCGTAGTGACCTGCGGGCTGTGTTGAGGCCACTGCCGCTAATCTTAAACGTAGAATACGTAACTAAAGTGGAATTTAAATTTTAAAATAGGTTGCATGTAGTTTCGAAATAAATCTCTTCAAAGCAATTTTGATTTATATTTATGTTGAAGTAATTTATTAAACCTATTACATAAATTGAATTAAACTTTGTAAACAGGTGGTAACTCTCTTCAAAATATTTTCAAACCACAACATCTTTCGTCTGGCAGCCACATCCGGATACAGACTTCAATTTTCTAGTTCCCTTAGTTTAGGTTGAGGTAGATTTTCTTAAATTTGTTTAAACAACTATGCAGAGGTGGTAAACGAACTTTAACATTGTCCACAGTGCCTACCCACCATTTTTGCACCAATACATATTTTTTTTTATATAAATACATACATACATGCAAACATACTGGTCTCCCCTCTCACTGAGTTATTCAATATGAATATCTGGATTTTATCCGTATGCACGAATATTCGAAAGGATAGCCGAATATTCGCAGCCATAATGTAACGGCTTTTGGCCAAATTTTAAGGATTTCATAACTGTGCATGAAAATGTATTTATGTATGCTTATATTTCGGCACTTCGTGTGCTATTAGTCTACATAAGCTTCTATAAGAGTTCGCATCTTCTGCTACACTGGCCTAAGTTTTGGGATTCACTCTATATATATAAATCGCACGTTTAATAAGATAGAGAAAGTTATTTACAATTTACGATTTTGGTGATTTAATCATAGAATTAATAAGCTTGATAAGGAGAATATGTTCAGCCTAAACTTCCCAAAAATGGCAAAGATATGTGTATTTTAATCTGCCTTCCTGTATATCATCTGTATAAATTTGCGTTTGATTATGTTTTCCCACAAAATTTAAATTTTTTTAATAATTCTGTATATTACACTGTAAAAACGCTAAACGCTAAAATGACACAAAAAAGCGGCGAGACACGTAAACTTAATTTTGGGTCGTAGATTGCGGATCTCCATACCGTTTTTCTAGATCAGGTCATTTCGCAAAGATATTTTCATTTTAAGAAAAAATCAAACTTCAACTTGTAAAATGTTACTCAAACGCCATGTACGAGCATGACCTTGCATGTATGTACATTGCGTATGAGTAACATTCTTTCTTGCTCGTATTTCATCCAAAAACTCTCTTTACGCATTTTCTTTGACCATTCACATTTTTTTTTTTTTATTCATCGATTTTCTTTTTGTAAGAGAACAGGCTTTAATACAAATGAAAAAAATAATAATAATTTTTTCATTTTTCCCTGTTAAATTTGGAATTTTTTTCATAAAAATTAAAATATCTTGGCAATCGACCTGATCTAGGAAAACAGAATAAAAATTCGTAATGTACCACTCAAAGTTAAGTTTACGTGTTTTGGCGTTTTTTCCCTGGCTATTAAACTTTTTTTCGAATTGTCCTTTAACTCATGCCAATAATATTGTAGAGTTTTTGAACACATTCATACCAAACATACATACATACATACATATCACATATATACACATACTTTTTACAAGAAAATTAAATTCGTGTTGAAATGCAAGAGTGTGGAACTTGAATTGCATGTTCGAAGTTAAGTGCCGAGCTTGTGTTCTTATGCTGGCATGTTACTCTCTGGCAATTGTCTAAAAAGTATTGCAGTACGTATGTGTGTTGCAACCAAGGACCGTAACAGTTATAAGCGATATCGTGAAAAATCATTATTTAATTTTTATGTTTTGATTTTTATCTTTTTCATCAAATTTAATAATTATTTCATGGGTTCTATGTTTGCTCGCTAAATAACACTTCCTTATTGAGTTTTATTTTTCTTACAATAAATAACACGATAAATAATGTGGTCGTTTAGGGACCTGTTTTCAGCAAAAAAGTTGTTTCGCTTGTGTTTTTTACGGACGCCATTTTCTATGAGAAAATATTTGTTGTTGAAAATATTCTTGTTTTACAAATAAATAAAACACGGTAATGGCATGTTCACGTTATTTAGCTCGTTCCCATATTAAACTGTAAAACGAGATATACCAAGAGTTTCCTCAAAGGAAATGACGTCCGAAATAACACAAACAGAACAGCTGATTTTTGGCTGAAAACAGGTCCCGAAACGACCACCTTTCGTGCCACCGCCTTTGGCCTTAAAACTAGCGTCAGTGATTTTTAACCGACTTCCAAAAAAGGAGGAGGTTATCAGTTCGTCGGAATATTTTATTTTATTTTTTATTTATTTTTTATGTATGTACCGCATAACTTTGGACCACGTCAACCGATTTCGATAATTCTTTTTGCATCGGAAAGGTAGTGTCTCAGAGGTGGTCCCATACTAATCTGGTTAAGATCCGATCAGCGGATCATGAGATATATATATATATATTTTTTTTTTTATATGGGAGTTGAAGTCGGTTTTTTTTTGCTAAAAATTACTTGTTAAGTAAAACTTACGAAGTAACAATTATTTTTAAACGATGAATAAAACTTACAAGGTCAAAATAAAACTCACCGCATAAGTTTTTCTATTGAAAGAAAATTAAAACTCACAAGTAAGTGTTATCTTGCGAGCAAACATAGAACTCATGAAATAATTCTTAAATTTGATGGAAAAGAAAAAAATTATAAAATTTAGGTTTATTGCACGATTAAGTACATCTCTAAAAGACGACCATTTTTATATACTAAATACATCATATATTTCCGGAACCTCCTTCATGTTGATTTATTTGATACAAATTTGCACCCATAATAGTTATTTGCGGTCCCTGGTTGCAATGACATAAATAATAATAGTGCGATTCAATTTTGGCGAAATGGCAACGTTCCAACAAAATTATATGAACGACCTATCGCAAATCCGGATGATTGCAAGATTTGCAAATGCCAAATTTCTTAAAAATGTCGCTCATAAGTAAAAATAAAAGTTTTTACAATTACATATATTTCAAAGCAGCCATAACTGATATGTACGTGTACTACTTTTCTTGAAGTATTCGAGGACAGTAAAATGAAGTGGAAATAATCTGGCAGTGTTGCATTTTTGTCGCAAGAAATTTTTCTTACAAAAGCAATCGGCTGTGTCGCATGGTGGAAAATTTTGCAACATTTCATGAATCGCACTAATATATTTTGTTTGCGATTTATATACTCATTCGCTAATTTAAATATAAATATTTATAAATGATTGGTCAATTGCAACATATAGATAGGGTTAGGGTGTCATGCCATAATGGGAATTGTCTTGCCTTTGCCGTGAGGTGATGCACATTTGTGCTAAATTTGCCGCTCTTTCAATTGTTACTTGGCGAACACCTGCTTGCCTTTTATTTAGTCATTTCTTCATCATGGCTTGAGCGATTTGTGCGAAACGCAAAGTTCAGAAAAATCGCATAAATCGCAATAATATTAAATAGACGCCAGATGCCAGAAAATATGACGCCTGCACATTATGGCATTATACCTCTGACCCACGCTTACTAACTACATACATACATAAGTCCGTACTCGCGCCTAAAATGAACTGAAACTTTGATCGATGTGCATACATACATATGTCAGGTATTTGAGAATTTTAATATATTGTTTTCTTTCTCTTCTTCCCACATCGTGCCACAAATATTCTCTCCGACTCGCTGATAATTGCCAACTACTTCAACGGAACGGATACGACCCAACCAATGGATTTGCTGCATTTGTCTCGCCGCCTGGCAGTGTGCGTGCAATGGCCAGAAGGTAAGCGAACGCCTTAGTTTGAATATGTTTTGTTCATTTGTGTAATCGATTGAAGGTCGGTCTACACTATTTGTAATACAAAAGATTCTATGCGAAGACATTCATTGCGGTTATGAACACACATCCGTACACACATATTCAAATCGTTAAGAACTAATTTTTACTACATAAATCGATTTTTGAGGTTCAAAACATAATTTATAATGCGCCATATTTGACGAAGAAGTTAATGCAGACCCATTTTTGAACTTGAGGTTCTTCGTTCAATTAGTTAGGATATTAAACCATAAAACATAAAACAAGTTATGTGGAACCTCTTCTCTATGACTTGTGTAGAAAAGGAGTGCAGCATCCCACTTTAATGTACAATATTTCCGTACTAAACTATTGGATAGAAATAATTCCTGGTCGATAATTAGAATCGGTAAATTTAAAATTAAAAGTGCTCTCAACAAGTTCCGTAAAAAATGCTAGTGATTATTTTCTTTTTTTTCTCCATGTCGTTGCTATCAAAAAGTTTTTTCAATTAATAGTTGTCAAATTCAATTTTAATTACTAATATTTCTATAAACGAGTGAATAAATAGTTCCCTTTAAAACCTCTCATCTACTCGCCCGAACTACTTATTGTTTTTGTTCAATGTTTTTGTTGTGCATTTTATTTATTGTTCCTTTTGCCAATTGCCCCATGAATTATTGAATTTACATATACTATAAATATATTTATTGTTAGATTTTGGTGAACTACTAGTTTCTGTACTACCTTGGAGTACATACATATTTGAATGCAGGAATAATAATGACTTAACTCTTACTACACACACACATGCATACTCACAAAAATATTTATGTACACATTTACGTATTTATACTACTTAAATATATAAGACCTTTGAAGTATCTACATATTGCAATTTGAATATCTTGTACTTAGTTCAAATGGAAGCGTTTGCGGACAGTTGTTTTTTTTTTTTTGGTTTATGCATCTTAGTAAATAATTACTTCTTAATTAAGCTGATTATTGCAACCCGTATACATGTTTGAAGCAAACGTTTTTAAATGATTATCATCACGCTCCACTCAGCAGCACTACAACCGAATACCAAATCAATCTTCGCACCGTTAAAGCAGTGGTTAATATTTAGAAAGGTGTTAAAGTTGTTTAGAATACAATTCAAATGGATATATGTATATGTACATGTACCCTTGTGGTCAGCTGATTAAGTCAAGTGACATTCTGACTAGTTTTGGCTATTGTTCTTTTGTTTATTTAATGTTTATACTTTCTTTTTTTAAGTCTAGCACTTTACCTAACCAGCCCAACATAAATCCACATTTCAAACTTCGCGCCAACTTTGCACCCGAAAATTTTAAACTTTTTATTCAGAATTTTTAGAAAAATTTTGGGTATGCAGTTTTGTAGCTCATTAAATTTTAGTAGGTCAAAGTGTAAATTTCAAGNTGCAAACTTTGCACCCGAAAATTTTAAACTTTTTATTCAGAATTTTTTTAAAATTTTTTTGGGTATGCAGTTTTGTAGCTCATTAAATTTTAGTAGGTCAAAGTGTAAATTTCAAGGCGCTAGAAAATCGCGTTGATTTTTAATGATTTTTATGCTAATGGTGCTAGGCATTTTCTCCCATACAGACGAAACTGTCGAGCATATTTTATAAGGAAGAAAATGCACAACACCGTCAGCCAAAAAAAAAACATTATTAAAAATCAACACGATTTTCTAGCGTTTTGAAATTTGCATTTTAAACTAAAAAATTTAATGAACTTTTATTAAAAAAAATATAAATATTAAATGAACGAAAGAAAAATAGAAAAAACTGGTCAAAATGTCACTTGGCTTAATCAGCTGACCACAAGTGTATATATATATATACATTTATATGTATTTATATTCCAGAAAACTTTTCAAGAACGCCGTATTTCAGAATTTGTTTGAAGAACGTCCTATCTCAAAATTCGTTTCAAAAACGCCCTATCTCTGCTGCTGATTTAAAAACGCCCTATCTCAGGCGCTTTTGAAGAGATTTCTGAGATAGGGCGCTTTTGAAATAGCTGCCGAGATAGGTCTATCTTCCACTCAGGTGTCGAAATACTCCACCGCAATTCGTTTTAATCTCAAATTCGAGGCACCAGAAACATACATTTGGCATTAAGATTTTGTTTGTATATTTGCTGGTGCTAACTTTCGCTGAATTTGTAAAGAAAAAGAAAAATAAATGTTTTTAGATAGTTATTCCACAATGAGTTTTGCTACTGAGTGTAGATCATGAGTTGATACAAATGAGTTGAGGACTCAAATAGCTTAGAGTAAGTTTGACAGCCGTATTAATTTTTTTGGGAATGTTACTAATAATTAATCCTGTATCTATTAAGGATGCCTGCATATTAGGGCTGGGATTTCAATCCGGATATCCGAATACCTATATCTAGCAATTTGAACTTTAAGCTCTTTGAGTGTTGCTCGCCTACACTATAGAGTTCTACGAGTTTTTTTTTTCTTATAAATATCTCTCTGGGAAGTGACCATGTTAGTTATAATTTTAATAAATGCAATTTCGAAGACCTTAATAATCTACTACTAGAGCTTGACTTAGATGGCCTCTTTACAGTTTTGAGTTGTATAGGTCTACGATGCATAATTTCTGTTTGGAACATACTCCAGTATTTCCCCAACAGAGATTGTAAACTTCGAATATTGAAAGCTCTTTGGTCATTCATTAAATCTAAAAAATTTAAATCTGATGATGCTAATCTGTTTGCTGATTTTTTAGTGCCAATTATGTTGCAGATGATGCGTTGGAGCTAAAGACTTCAAGCGCATCTGATTGTCCTCTACCTTTTGGCCCCTTGTGCAAAATCGTATTGCATCCCCGAAATCATCAACCCAAACAGATATCCAAGGTTTATGTGCCATTCTTTTTAAAAATTGTCCGGCTCTCATTAAGCCTGTAACCGAGATCCACCGTTTCTAATGTAGCAATTTTTACCGAGGACTGACTTGGCAAGTTTTACGGCTGGGTATCAAATTTGTACTGACTGACTTAATATAATATAAGTCACATATATAAGGAAACAAAAATTTCCCTCTCCACTTTCCTCTTAACAATGCGCAATATAGCAGTTTTTTTCTCTTAACAACACTATTTTTCAACCGACCTGGCTTAACTCGGATAAATAGCCGAGTTTATGTTGGTGCTTTGCACGTATTTCGTCATTTAAGCGAGTGTTCGTTTGTAGCTCGGTTGCAAAAGAATGCACCTGCTATTGCTGGTTCCCATTTCGATGGCTGAGTGGAAGATCGCCCTATCTCGGCAGCCAGTTCGAAAACGCCCTATCTCAGAAAACTTTTCAAGAACGCCCTACTTCAGAATATGGTTGAAGAACGCCCTATCTCAGAATTTGGTTGAAGAACGCCCTATCTTAGCTGCCGGTTCAAAAACTCTCTATCTCAGGTTATTTTCAATGTATTTTCGTTTGAGATAGGGCGTTTTTGAACCGAATTATGAAATTGGGCGTTATTCAACTAAATTCTGAGATAGGGTGTTTTTCAATCAAATTCTGAAGTAGGGCGTTTTGGAAAAGTTTTCTGAGATAGGGCGTTTTCGAACTGGCTGCCAAGATAGGTCGATCTTCCACTCAGCCATCGATTTGACGTTCGTTGACAGGGTTCAAGATTTAGAAGTATATTTTGACTCAGAACTCACGTTTGTAGGCCATATTAATTTGATAGTGCAAATTCCTACTCCATGTTAGCTTTTGTGCGTGGATACAGTTCAGATTTTTTGGATTCGTAAAAACATAAGAAATTGTTTATTGCCTTTGTTTGGTCTCGTTTGGAATATGCTTCCAATTATCTGACGGCCTGCCCGGCGTCATATATAAATAGAATATAGCGCATCCAACTGATTTTTATTAGATTTGCACTGCGATCATTAAAATTCACACAGTTTTTGCCTTATTTAGAATCACTTGAGAATATAAAAAAATATCTCTGCTGTTCATTTATCCTAAAAGTCATAACTGCGGATGTGGATTGCCCTGATATTCTAAGTGGGATACCTCTCAATATCCCTACCAGGAGCTCGACATATTCTATTTGTACATAGATAAATCTAATTATGCCACGAAAGGTTCTATCAATCGAGCTCTTTGAGAACTTAATCGAGCTATGATATTGACATCTCACTTTCTTTAATAATATATTATTAATTAGTTTTTGTGTAGTCAGTAAGAAACTATTCATTAATAAAATAAATAATGGAAATTATTGAATATTAGCCGAATATCTGAATAACAAAATGAACATAGTATATTAAGTATCTGAATATCCGGATATTAAAATGAATATAAACCGGATATCCGTAATATTCGGATTGGACAGGTTATTCGAATACACGGATAGTCCCAGTCCTAGTACATACATATGTTTTTTGATTTTGTAAATTAAGATATTTTCTATACTTACTATACATGAGATTTGTTGATTTATTTGTTTAGAAATACTATTTTTGATCATATGATATTGAAGCAAAACCAATGGCAATACATCCCGGCATAATCACTTTATTTTGGTTGCTTACTATGAGGAATTCTCCTCATGGCATACCAAAATGTGCATAAATATGTATGTTTGTGTGTGCATATTTGAGGGGTGCTTCATTTTGTAAGGCAAAAATGAAACGCAAAATTTTTGTAAACTTCACTTACCCGCCGAAATTAATATCTTAAACGTATGTATGTATGTACATTAGACTGTACCAGGAAAAAATTCGACGGACATCTTCGAATCGTGAAGTATTTTTGCAAGGCAATTACGAAAAAATTGTGTCTTTAGCCGAACGAAGCGGTCGTATTTATCTCGAGGAGATAACCCACCCTAGGGTCAGTAAATTAGAGCTATTCAGAGAGAAAAGAGCTATTCAAAAAAATTCATCCAAATGCTTAGAGGTCGCGCACAGAGGCGGCCGCGGTGACATGAAATGCCTC